CAATACAGCTCCTCCCGAGCCCTTGCAACAATCTCACTAAATGAAGGCCTATCATTGAATTGCACAGGCACGCTTTGCATGTCAACAAACACAACATATCCACAACGATCGCATTCAACGGTGCATCCATGATATATGGTCACTAGGTTGTTCATCTAGTTTAAACACATAACGAAACACATGTTCTTTAGTTCAAATTGGACGATAGATAGTACCTAACAAGTACTTTCTAACTAAAAACTAAATAAATAATATAATAACTACGTATATATATACAGTGTACTCACAAAATAGCTATGTCTATGTACCTATGTATCTATGTTTCTATCTACATATCTAATTATATCTATGTACCTATGTATGTATGTTTCTATCTATCTACATATCTATCTCACTAGATCACTAACTAAATCAACTGCCCGAGTCATCGCATTAACTAGTAAATAACAAATAATTGAACTACTATATTACAATCAAAGCTAACTAAACACCTACGTTGCATATTCATAATTTTTACCTAGCGCGGCCGGGCGCTGCAGGGCCCGGGGACGGCACAGACGCGATCGTGGTCGCGAGCGCGGCCGGGGACGGCCGACGCGGGAACGGGGCCGGCGCAGGCGGGGACGGCGGGCGCAGGCCGCCGTAGAGGGCGCGGGCGGGGACTGCCGGCGCGGCCGCGGGTGCGGGCGCGCGCGGGCGGGGACGGTGCGGCAATGGTGACGAGCGATAGAGAGAAAGAGAGAGATGAAGAGAGAAAGGAAGGGAGGGCCCATACATAAGAGAGGGCTTGACGGCAGGATTGTTGGCGCCGAGCTCGGCGCCAAGATCCACGGCACCGACATGCCTGCCATGTCAGCGTCCGTGCTATCAACGTGGCCCCGAGTTCGGCGTCAGCAACGATGGCGCCGAGCAGTGTAAGCTCGGCGCCAACAACGATAGCGCCGAGCTAAGGGTCTAAATTTTAAAATCTTATCTCTATACACATATTTGTGATTTTTTTTTAAAAAAAAACTAAAAATAAAAAATTCGGCCAACGTACGAGGGCAAAAACGCGCTTGGGCCCTGACCCAAAAGACTACTCGAAAGTCTCCGCGGTCTGATAGTAGTACAATTTTAAATTGAGCTACAGTTTTTGTCTTCAATTTCATTGCAGTTGCAGGCAGGAGGGCCCGAGGACGATACTGGTACAGAAGACGCGGTACACCACACCACAGATGGCCCAGCTGAATTCATTAACACCAAATGGGCCAGAATCACGGTTGACTTACTCCCTCCATCTTACAAATAGAGTCGCTATAGAAATCATATTGGTCAAACTTTTTTAAATTTGACTAGATTTGTAGAAAATACATGCAACATTTATATCTCTAAATAAGTTTGTTATGAAGGTATATTCAACGATCTACTTAATGATACTAATTATATACTATAAATATTAATATTTTGTTAAATATATTTGATCAAAGTTAAAAGTTATTGACTTTTTAAGAAATGAGAACGACTCTCTTTTTTTTTTTTTGCCCGAGGGAAGTAGATTGTTGGAATGATCAAAGTCTCCCGGTTTCGGACGAACGCACAACACGTACAGGGAGTTTATTTAGGATATATATGTATATTATATATTCCCGTGTTGCGCGTTATATTAAACCATGTTACATTATAGTAACCATATATGTTTTCTTATTACTACTAAGGATTCTTCTGTAAGCTTTTTTAAAAAAGGATTCTTCTGTAACTTAATAATTGCATTCTTTTTCAAGTTGATCATGGGACATGGATGCCAGCTTCTTCGACAAACGATCGTCAACATCAGAATGTCTGGCCGCGATTGGAGGACAACGATCGCCCGCTTTCTTAGACGTAACGTCGCTTCTTCTGTAAACTCTTCGTGCTTCTGCTAGACGCTACAGTAAAACACAGTTCCGAATTTGTAGCTGCAGCGATTATCGCTACAGTGAAACGCAGCTCAAAATTTGCAGCCACAGGCAGAGCAGCTAACCCTGTTCGCTTAATTGTTTCTGTGGCTTATAAGCCGGCTGATGTTGTTTAATTATGAGAGAAAAACACTACATTATAACTGACAAGCATGGCTGATACGATCAAGCGAGGAGGATGTACGTTAACTAACACTGCAGCAGCCGCTGTACCGAATACCTTCGCAAGCTTGAGACACGGCCTGAGCTGCTACAGCTTGCTATGCGCCAATGGCCTGTTGTTTCGTTGGTCCCTGAACTGAACTGCTTTTGGTGCCAGATGCATGCGCAAATGTGCTCATGCGTCATGCGCTTAATTCTTGAAGAGTGATACTCCATAGGAGAGAGGTGGTGGCTCCGTTTGGGATAAATTTTTTTTGGAACCGTGTATAACCCAACTCTGCTCGAGCTCAGCATCCGGAGAACCGAAATGATCATTTTTTTAATTAGTTGGATGACCTAGGTGAAAATCCATGGTATACCGTGGATACATATAGTGATTTTTTAGTTGATGATCTAAATAAGATCTATAAAAAATTTAAGGATATACGTGCATTTTACTCTTTTTATAAGATAGTTCATATACTTGTCAAATCATGTAGTTACTATATATATAAACCATATTTCTAGTGAGTAGTTGTTTTAAAATAAATTTTAATCGTGTCTTGTTCCTCCATCTACTCATCACATCTCTTCCTATCTTAGTTCCTATATAGCATAGTTTCTTGTTTAAAAATTATTTTCTTATCTTTTTTTTTTAATTTCAATGTTGCATTATCATTTTATAGTTAATAAACATAGAATTATCCTAGTATGTGGATTAAGAGTGCCATGACATGCTTATTTTAAGCGGTTTCGAAAACGCTAGACGAGACCTTAAGGCTGTGTTTAGTTCTCAAAAAGTTTCTCAAAAAGTGTTGCAGTAGCCATCACATCGAATCTTGCGATACGTGCATGGAGCATTAAATGTAGACGAAAAAAACTAATTGCACAGTTTGGTTGGAAATCGCGATACGAACGTTTTGAGCCTAATTAGTCCATGATTGAACACTAATTACCAAATAAAACCGTAAGTGTTACGGTTGCCAAATTCCTAAATTTCGCGAACTAAACGCAGCCTAATTCACGGACGTTCGTTGAATTGGAAAGCAGCGAACAAAATTCCGACACGTTCAGTTTCTTTTTTGGGAAAAAATAATTTCGACCTATTTCCCTATTTAGTTATTTCCCTATTTAGTTAGTACTGCGTGCGCTCATTCTCTTCGGTTACTCATCTTCAACAGGCTGCACCGGTGTGTTGGGGGCCCACACAAAACATTTACTTTAAAATGCTATAATTTCTAAACAGTATATCCATTTTCAATTTCATTTGCACCATTGTGTTCTACATGACGAGAAGAATAAAACTAGACCTCACTTATATATGTTTCGAAGAATTTTATTCCCATAGCGAATTATGTGTACTAACTTATAACTATAACTCATCACCTAAAACTTATAACATATAACTTATAATTATAACTATGCCAAAACTTGAAACACAAAAGTTATTGAACACGTTATTAAACACAAAAGTAACGAATGAACTTATAACTTATGCAAAAACTTAAAAACATAAAAGTTATTAAACACAAAGAAACGAATTAACTTATAACTTATATTGAAACTTGAAAACACAAAACTCATGAAACACTTATGAACAAAAGTTATCAACACAACATATATGTATAAGTTATTCTGTATAACTTATATACATAAGTTATTCTATACAATTTGCTAACGGTGCAAAAAAAAAAAAAAAAAAAGATGAAAAGAATACTAAAAAACACATAAGTTATTCAACATAAAGGAATGAATTAACTTATAACTTATATCAAAACTTAAAAACTAAAAAAATTATCAAACACAATTTATGTACAAAAGTTATTAATCAAAACTTGTATACATAAGTTATTCTATACCACTTGTGAACGCTGCCAAAAAGAAATTAAAAAAGAAAAAATGTATAAAAGAAGGACATAAAAATATAAAAAATGAAAAGAATACTAAAAAATTCGAACGGGAAATATTGAAATACAAAAAATTCGGACGTAACTCATAGATCGACGGAGACAAAAAGGTCGGCTGCACCAACGTGTTCGCTCAATTCCAGTGGTAGAGAAAAAAACGAAAAACGAAACAAAAAAACATCCGCAAACGCGCAAGCAGCGGAACGAGTTGGACGCACCATTCGTCTGTCGGCATCTGCAGGCCGTGTAAACGAGCTGGACCCACTGTTCGCCGGATTCCAAATAAGTGGGCGCACGCTAAAGTGAAATTGGGACAGCTAGATAGTGCTGCGCAGCACAAAGAGACAGAGCCCTGCAAATAAGACCTTGTTTGAATCTATTAATTGCTAATAATTAGCTAGCCAATAATTTATAGTTAATATTACATGTTATTAGCTAGTTTGGTCCAACTAGTATAATAGTTGTTAGTTAGATATTCAGCTAACATGTTTAGATTTAAGGAGCTAATTATTAAGAACTAACTATTAGCTATATGGCTTCAAAGATAGTCTAATATAAATCACTATCGTATGCCTTTTTCTACTATTGATGTGACTTTATTTACAAGATAAGCTTATATCAAACTTACTCTAGTGATATACTAACGTTTACCAAATAAATAGATACCACTGTCTATCTTCTAAATTATAAGATGTTTTGTTTTTTATTTATTTATTATTATTTTTAAGTATGTAGATATATTGTATATTTAAGTGCATAGCAAAAGCTATATATATCTTAAAAAAATCTAAAACGTTTTATAATTTATAAAATGGATGAAGTACTACAAATCCACAAACATTTTTTTATCGGACAGAACCAAAGGAGGTTGTGGGATATATTTTGGAACGGAGGCCGGAGGAACTATACCAACTAATAATCCGCGTAGAGTTGACCAACAAATACAAAGTCACACGCCAACGCTGCTCATCCGCTCCAAACCATCTCGTGAGAAGAAGCGCGAACAGCGGGCGAAAGGATGGAGGGCGCCGGCAGTGCGGCGCACAGGCGGTGGGACACGTCGTCGTCGTCGCAGTACAGCTTCAGGACGTCCGTGAGCAGCGCCGCGGAGATCACCGGCGGCGATGAGATGGAGGCGAGGCCACCGGCACCGCCCGTGGACAACAGAGTTTTCGTGGCCGTCCCGGAGGACGTCAAGCACGGGAAGAGCACCCTGCTGTGGGCGCTGGAGAACCTGGCCAAGGACGGCTCCGGCTCCGGGGTCGTCATCGCTCACGTCCACTGCCCCGCGCAGATGATCCCCATGAGTAAGACTTCCTTAATACCCGCACTGTTTGGACGATTCTCAGATGAGTTTGTCGCCATGAATCTGAAATTCTGAATGCTGCTGCCGTCTGCATCTCCTTCGGTTTGCTGTTCCTGGAAACAATGGATATGGTTTGTTGACTCTAGATAGCAGTCAGGGTCAGGCAATCATAAGGCTTCATACTCTGTACACACAGCACAGCTGAAAGGGATTTTTCACGTTTTGTGATGCAAATCGAAGCCCCATCTTCTTCTTAACCACTCATAAGTAAACATACCTTCACTTGCTTACCTGCTCATTCTTTGTTAGATGAGCTGCTAAACTTGTTTTCACCGTTCCAAAAAGGCTCTTCCATCTTCTGAATTCGTGCTGCACGGTTCCATCCTCTGAAAACCATGATTACTGGCCAGAAAAAACTCTCGGAACTAGTATTATGCATTGATAGTGACGCCTCAGGTGCACGCCCCCTCGTTGGAGGTATTGTCATGAGCCCCCCTTACTCTCCAGGAGTTTGACTGAAAAACCTTATTTCTCCATTCGGCCTTCCCCTTCTGGGAGGCATCGCTGTGAAAAAAACCTATTCATCCTTCTAGTTTACATCACTTGTTCTTTGTGACGTGATGTGCAGAGTGACGTGTGTGATAGCTGATGTTTCTGAGGACCGTTGTTGTGTTTCTCGCGGGGTAGTTTTGCTGTTGCCTTTTTCATGAGGTTATTGTTTTTGTTTTGCTTTTTTATTTATTATAAAATGTTTCTTCTCTATTAATATATGCCCGACATACTCTTGTCACTGGCTCTTCGAAATAAGATTATGCATTGAAAGAAGCTGGCATAAACGCTCTCAATCTATGAGTCTGCCAGCAGTTTTAAGACCATAATTTCTTTACTAGATACAGTAAAAAATCTTCCATGATGATATATATACCTCATGAGTTTAGACTTCATAGAATTGTCATTATTCTGTTATTTCAGTGGGAGGAAAAGTTCATTACACTATGGTGAATGCAAAACAGGTCAATGATCATAGGAAGAAGGTGCGAGCAGAGGCAGAAGAGAAACTAAATGAATACGTCAAGATATGCATAAGGCAGAAGGTGCTCCTCCTCACCTCTCTCATGCCATGAATAAAACTAATGAACCACATAAACCATTCAGTATTGAATTGGAGAATATAGTGAACGCATATGTATCTTAATTGACAAATTTCTGCCAAATTACTTTCCATAGGTCAGCTGCGAGAAAGTAATAATCGACAACGAGGATGTTGCTAAAGGGCTCGAGGAGCTAATTGCTCTTCACGGCATCACCAGGCTTGTCATGGGAGCAGCTGCAGACAAACATCACTCAAAGTAAGGATTACACACCTAATGATTGATGTCTTTCTCGCGTTTTTTTGTTGTAGTTTAAGGCTACAAAAAACATCATCAAACAAAGCATATAATTCCATATTAGCACACAAAGTTCCATATTGTGGAGCTAAATCTCACTGAATTGAAAGTAAAGAGGGAAACAGAAGGGGGAAAAAAGGTTATTCTACCTAATAAGTGTTCCCCTATCGTAGGAAAATGAAATCACTGAAGTCCAAGACGGCACTCAGACTGACAGAGGCAGCAGCTTCATCGTGTAAGATATGGTTTACTTGTAAAGGGCATCTTATATGCACCAGGTAAGATTAAGCCAAGAAGGCTATTACCTTCCTAAGATAAATATTATTTTCTAGGATATTAGTATCAGTGAAGTAGTCAACAATTGTGGCTATGGTTTGAGTTCCACTAGAGTTAGTTGCGGTAGCATCTCATTTATTCGAGTCTTAACATCGACTATTACGTCCAACTTCATATCTTGCAAAAGAGTTAATGTCAGTAAAGTTCATTGGAAAAATACCAAAGAAAGAGATTAAACCATACCTCTAAACGCTGCAGGGAGGCAAATACAACTGTTCCTGCAATACCACCATCACCTGCGTTCACGGTTGCATCAGAGTCATCAGTAACCAGCGTTGGTAGCTGTCTCAGATCAATGACAATCCGTCATTCAGAGAGTAATGCATCAAGCTCAAACGGAAGTCCAAGGAACGATCTGATACGATCGAGAACAGAAGTGGGGCTGTATCCATCTCTAGAATCTATCAGTACACCGTCTCGGCTATATGAATCCTGTGGCAGGCCTACAATAACATCAAGAAGTTCTATAGATTCTTGGGATGAATTTGGGAGGAGATCGCAGAACTCATGGCACGATGTATCAAGAAATGTTGATGCGGTCACTATCTCTGGATTAGCAATGCCGCATGGAATGCAAGAACCTGATGATGAGAACTTTTCATCCCCTTCTCATGAGCTGGTATGTATCATGAAGAGACATAACTTCAAGGTAAACAAAACTATCATAAATGAAGTATAACAGGGGACTGAAGTATGTTTGGTACCACATAGGAAAATCCAGGCGTTGATGCTAATGCAAACATATACAGAAGACTCACAGAGGCTCTCAGTGAAGCTGAACGGTATAAGAAAGAAGCACATGAAGAATCAGCCAAACGCCTAAGAGCTGAACTAGATATGGCTTCAGCTCTTGGAAATGTAAGTGTTCTCCATTATCCATGATTGAGATTGCAAATACTGAACCAAACAAAGTCACATACTACTGCTTTTACAGGTATACGAGTTATATCAGCAAGAGATAAGGCAGCGCAAAACAATCGAGGAAACACTGGCGAGCCAAGAACAGGAGATTGAAGAAATGAAAAGACAGCATGATGTGACATCCAACGAATTACATGCCGTCAAAGAGCAGAAACTCGTCCGTGAACAACAAATAACAGAGATGGCATCTGCTATCAAAGATTACGAAGAGAAGATGGTAGCAAACGAATACCTCACCCAAATGCTGCAAACAGATAATGAGAAGCTGCAACAAGAGCGCGACGCAGCTGTAACTGAAGCTGAAGGCTTGCGCCAGAAGAATGACAGTAAGGTTTCAGCACCATTGCCAGCTGAAACACTGAACACCGAGTTCTCCTACTTTGAGCTGGAACAAGCCACTGAAGGTTTTGATGAGAGGCTTAAGATTGGCGAGGGTGGATTCGGAAGCGTCTACAAAGGCTTCCTCCGCAACACAACCATAGCTGTAAAGCTGCTGAATCCACAGAGTATGCAAGGACAGTCAGAATTCAACCAAGAGGTGACGGAATTCATCAGATCATTCTCTTTTTCTCTTCATTCAAGCAAATAGGCAATTATCATGCATACCTGACCCTTAAGTGTCGTGTCACCATTGTAGGTTGCTGTTCTCGGTAGAGTGCGGCATCCAAACCTTGTCACGCTGATTGGCGCGTGCCGGGAGGCATTCGGCCTGGTGTACGAGTTCCTCCCCAACGGCAGCCTCGAGGACCGGCTGGCGTGCACCAACAACACGCCGCCACTGACATGGCAGGTGCGCACCAAGATCATCTGTGAGATGTGATCGGCCCTTATCTTCCTCCACTCGAACAAGCCGCACCCGGTGGTCCACGGCGACCTGAAGCCGGGCAACATCCTCCTGGACGCCAACTTCGTGAGCAAGCTAGGGGACTTCGGCATCTGCCGGCTCCTGAGCCAGTCCAGCACCACCACCACCAGGGCCATCACCACGAAGCTGCACAGGACGACCACCCCGAAGGGGACCTTCGCGTACATGGACCCGGAGTTCCTGTCCACCGGCGAGCTCACCCCGCGGTCCGACGTGTACTCGTTCGGCATCATCATCCTGCGGCTCCTGACTGGGCGGCCGCCCAAGAGCATCGCGGAGGTGGTGGAGGACGCGGTGGAGCGGGGGGAGCTGCACACCGTCCTCGACCCGACCGCGGGGGACTGGCCGTTCGTGCAGGCCAACCAGCTGGCGCACATCGGCCTGCGGTGCGCGGAGATGAGCCGGCGGAGGCGGCCTGACCTCGCGGGGGAGGTGTGGAAGGTGGTGGAGCCCCTCATGAAGACCGCCTCGCTCGACGCCGGGCGGCTGTCGTTCGCGCCGTCGTCGCTGGATGACGCGCACGCGCCATCCTACTTCGTCTGCCCAATCTTCCAGGAGGTGATGAGCGATCCTCACATCGCCGCTGACGGGTTCACGTACGAGGCCGAGGCGATCACGGGGTGGTTCGACAGTGGGCGCGACACGTCGCCGATGACGAATCTGAAGCTCGAGCACTGTGAGCTGACGCCCAACAGGGCGCTCCGCTCGGCGATTCTCGAGTGGCAGCAGCAGTTGCAGCAGCAGCAGTGGCAGCCACTGTGAGTTTACGTTCGGTTCTCTTGGAACCGGCCGTTCCTGGCCCGAAAATCTTCCGTGCTTATTTACGGAAGCGCGCATACGACTCCGTGGCGGATGCGAACAACCTAATTTCAACTGCACATAATGTTTGTAACTTTGTATTCCATGGGTCAAAATTTGTTTAAATTAGAAAGAAAAATAAAGAGGAAAATTCTTAGAGCAGTTCCAACAGACTGGGTAAATATATTCGTGAAACCATTTATAGCTATTGTGCTAAAAAAAGCATTCCAATAAATTGTCTATAATGTTTTCCATTTTTTCCAGCTGGCTATCCCACCATTCTCGCTGGCCATATTTTCCTAGCGAGTCCAGCTTGCCTATCTGTGTTTACCAATTTAGCTAGGCTGTTATAAAACTCTATATTTTAAATAGACTTTCTATTTTACATAATGACTAAATCTCAAAATTTAATATCTAATTTTATCAAGTATCTTAGAGTTGCTCTTAGTCTTCTGGAAGATTAGACATAGGAATCTCAATGTTACGTAGTGTTGGGTATCGATAGTAGAGATACCAAAAGCAAGAAAGTTAGCACTCACGCTGACTTTTCCGGATGGATCAAGACGTATTAAAGGGTCTCGCCCGACCCAAAGGCCGCGGGCTCCGTCTAATCCGACCCCGAGCCGCGGGATCCGCCTCTAGGGATGAAAATGGTTGGAAAACCTCTTAACCGTTTTCTACTTTTACATTTGAATACGAAAACAAAAGTGAAAGCAGTAAAGCCGGATACGAAAACGAATACAAACTTACGGAATATCGAGAATTTCGAAAACAAACTAAATCGAGCGGAATTATGTCGAACACGGTCGGTATACGAAAAATCAATACGAAATATTGACCTGTTGGACCGTGCATAACAATTAATAAGTGAATAATAATTAAAAAGTCCTACAACTTTCTTAAAAAGTATCTCCATTCGACACCATATAAAGAAGATATGATTTTTCTTGGCAACCAACGCTTATACGCAATTTAATGTTGAAACTTTATTTAAATTTTTTGAACATCTTAAGCACCTCAAATGAAAAAACTGAAAACTAGAAAGTTGTAGATCTCGTCGAGAGCTATAATTTTCATATAAAAATCATTTTCATCCGAGATCGAATGAAAAAGATACAATTTTTCTAAGATTGGACATGTAGTGGGCCAAATGTTGTTTAAACCGAATTTCAAATTCGGGATATTCTGAATTAAAAGTAGAAAAGTAGAAAACGATCAAAAAAATGTCTAAACCGTTTTTGTTCCGATTTCGAATTTGGTGTTCCGAATTTTGAACTGAATTCGAATTTGTCCGAAAATACGAATCCGATCGGATTAAACGTATGAAAACGATGCGGTTCGGTACGTGATATTTTCGTACCGTTTTCATCCCTATCCACCTCGTCCGACCCGAAGGACACGGGTTCTGTCTCGCCCAAGGCCGCGGGCTCCGTCTTGTCCGACCTCGAGGCCGCGGGCTCCATCTCGCCCGACCCCTGGGGTGCGGGCACCATCTCGCCCGATCCTAAGGACGTGCCTTCCGTCTCGCCCAAGACCGCGGGATCCGTCTCGCCCGACCCCTTGGGTACGGGCTCCGTCTCGCTCGACCCCAAGGACGTGGCTTCCGTCTCGTCTGATGGGGACCTATACCGCCGCCAACCACTCCAGGTCCAAGCGTATGGGCCTGGGTCAAAACTCTGACACTAGGAAAGAGACTGGTACGCCTCGATGTAACTCGTGGCCATGACGAGCCATACCTGGGAATTCACATCAAGAATAGTATCGGGCGTGCGGGTGCTGTTCTGCCTAACCCTCGTACTGATGCTGACAGGCGCGTCAGTTCTCCACGACGTCCGTCGGGACAGAGTGGAATGCCATGACCAGCAGATCACGCCTACGCATGGCGCCGTGACGAACAGGGCCGTGACGTGGAGCCGTCCCTATTGACATCTATAGGATCGACGGGACCCGCATGAAGGAGAAGAAGGATCCGACGACCATGGAAGCCTTCTTCTCTCTCGTTCTTCTTTTTTTCCTCCGCTGCAACCCGCGCTTTCCCCTCGCCTATAAAAGGGAAAGCAAGGCGCCCCATGAAATAGGACGAGAGCTCGAAACACGACAGCACGACATGAGCACGCGGCTGAGCGGCAAGCGAGCTCTCAGCACCCGAGCTCTCAGCACCCGTTCACTCCTTTCACCAGAGACTTGGGATCCTCTCCCTCTCTCACCTGTTTGTAACCCATACTATAAACTAAGTGCCAGTAACACGAGCAGCAGCGAACTGGACGTATGGACGATACGCCCAAAATAGTATAAATCCTTGTGTCCTCCGAGCCCACCATCCGAGCCAAACGCGCAAATACAAATTTACTCGTCGGTAGTCCAAAAACACCGACAATTGACGCGCCAGGTGGGGGCTTTTTGTGCGTCTCGACGTCCACATCAGGCCTTGGATGGCTAGTCATGGGGTCAGCTGGATCCCGGGCGCGCACGTGGGCTTCGGGAACCTGGACTTCATCATTACGATGGAGGGAGAGTTGGCGCAGGTTCCCGCTGCCGTCCAACCTCTCCACTCCGCTGGCCTTGATGCTATCACTGAGGCGCTTGAGAAGCTGTAGCTGCACGGACCGGAGGCCCGTGCCTCCGGGTGCGACCAGCTCATCGGCTTCGATTACGGGAGGTTAGAGCGCCAGCTCGGCGCCTTCCTAGGACCCCGACCGTCTCGGGAGGACCTGGACCGCCTCACCTTCTCGTTCGCCAAGGTCATCACGCAGCTTGCCGGAGGAGAGCTGTTCTCCCCAGAATACCTCATCCGGAGCGCGCCGACAGCGCTCCTATTCGGTCTGCGCAACGCCACAGAGACTTTTGGCCAACTTGTGGTGCAACGCACGCCCCCATCCCCTACGAACAACAAGTTCGTGGGGATGACCGAATACATCATGAAATCTTTCCACGACCTTCCCGCAGGAGAACCAGAGTCGCCCTCCGACTCTGACTCTAGCTAGGGAAGCCATCACCCCTCGCGAGAGTGTTTCATGGCAGGTACCCCCGAGGGATACATCTGAAGCATCCACGAAGAAGGGGCTACCCCAATAGATGACCTCGACGATGAGGTCGAGGGGGATGCAGGGGCCCCGCCTCGCCTATGGGTAGAGCAGCTGAGGGCGCGACACCAAGAGCTCAAAGAAGCACGACTCTAGCTCAAGCAGGAACACGTGAAGCTCGAGCGAGGAATCGAGCACCGCAGAGATGGTGGGCGTGCGCGCGCTATGGCCCGCGACATGAACCAGAGGATCATCGAGGACGACAAAGCCCTCAAACACTTCACCCGGGCAAGCCAGAACATCGCTGCCACGGCGGCCTTGCTCCGGGGGCTTTCGGAGCCCACGACACCCGAGGATCATTCGGCCCATCATGAGATTCGCATGCTACTCGAGCGTATGGCGGTGCAGCAGGCCTAGAGCTCGCTGTCCTAATGACACGAGCTCGACTCCAGCCATCGTGCGCCCTCAGAGTGACTCGATAGGGACGTGTCAGTCCACCAGGCGCAGCGAGGCGACAGGCCACGTGTCGCGGTCCCGGTGCATGAGCGTCTCGACCTCCACCGTGACACGCACAACACCCTGGATGCCCGCAGGCGTGCCTATGGCGATGAGAGGGAGGAGGCTAGCCACGTCTACCACCCTCATTGTGGTGGACACTATGACAGCGGCGAGGACCAAAGCCCGAGCCCTGACTTGCTGGGACCTCAGGCCTTTGGCCAACACATCCTCAACGTCGTCTTCCCACCACGGTACCAACCGCCAACCAACATCCTGAAATACTCTGGGGAAACAAACTCCCGGACTGTGGCTCGAGGATTATCGGCTTGCTTGCCAATCTGGTGGAGCGGGTAGTGACGATTTCATTATGCGCAACATTCCATTGTTCCTGGCTGATTCAGTGCGAACGTGGTTGGAACACCTTCTGCCCAACCGAATCCAAAGTTGGGTGGACCTAAAAGAGATCTTCGTGGAAAACTTCTAGGGCACATACTCGCATCCTAGAAACCCATGGGATCTCAAAAACTACTGACAGAAGTCCGAGAAACTCTTCGTGGGTACATCCGGCGCTTCTCCCGGTAGTGCAACAAGCTGCCCAACGTCGCCGATGCTGACGTCATAGGAGCTTTCTTGTCCGGGACCACCTACGAGTCCCTGGTTCACAAGCTAGGACGTAAGGGCTCGTGAGCCACCAAGGAGCTCCTCGGCATCGCCACCAGCCATGCCTTGGGCGAGAAGACAGTCAGGGCGATTTTCGACCGCCCCAAAGGCAAGGCAAAGCGGGATGAGGACGCCAGCAAAGGCGCCTCCAACCACCCCAACAAGAAGAAGAACAAGCAGCGCCACGAGGGCTTGTTCGTGGCCACTGCCGACCACAAGGGGGGTCAGAAGCCCACCAAGGGTACTCTGGACCACTTCGAGAAGCTGCTCGAAGGGCTATGCCCAAACCATGCCTTTCCCATCAAGCACCCATACAAGGACTGCGTCCTCATGAAGCGGTTCTTGTCTGAAGGCTCCAACAAGGGGGAGCATAGGAAGGAGCCCAAGCCAGCTACAGATGACACCGAGGGGAAGGATGGTAGATTTCTGGTGCTAGATGGTTGCCTCATGATCTTCGAAGGGTCGATGGCCTATGACTTCAGGAGCTGCCAGAGCCTTCCTTCCTCCGATGGTCGGAGTCTGCCATAACCTTTGATTAGACCGACCACCCAGAAAGCGTCCCACAGCTAGGAAGATACCCGCTCGTGGTCGACCTAATCATCAGCACAAAGCGGCTCACCAAGGTGCTAATGGATGGAGGTAGCAGCCTCAACATCATGTACGTTGAAACGCTCGACGCCATGGGCATCGACCGATCACGTATCTGACCGACTGGGGCACCTTTCCACGGCATCGTGCCTAGAAAGCCGGCCATGCCACTTGGGCAGATCGATCTGCCCGTCA